ACCCCCAGTCGCTTCCCGAGACCTCTGTGACACTCATCCAATGACTGATAAAGACCAAACTTGGCACACAGAGCCCCCATGACCCACTCTACATCCTGGTGCAGTTTTGTAGGAGGATGGACCATGGATTATGGGACTTTAAGTACCCCCAGTCACTTCCCGAGACCTCTGTGACACTCATCCAATGACTGATAAAGACCAAACTTGGCACACAGAGCCCCCATGACCCACTTTACATCTTGCTGCTGTTTGGAGGAGGGTGGACCATGGATTATGGGACTTTAAGTACCCCCACTCGCTTCCCGAGACCTCTGTGACACTCATCCAATGACTGATCAAGACCAAACTTGGCACACAGAGCCCCCATGACCCACTCTACATCCTGGTGCAGTTTCGAGGAGGATGGACCATGGATTATGGGACTTTAAGTACCTCCACTCGCTTCCCGAGACCTCTGTGACACTCATCCAATGACTGATCAAGACCAAACTTGGCACACAGAGCCCACATGACCCAATCTACATCCTGGTTTTGTTTGGAGGAGGATGGACCATGGATGATGGGACTCGCAGTACTAAATTCCTGAGAGCACTGCAAGCCACATAAATAACTGATAAAGGCCAACCTTGCAACAAAATGCCTTTCTCAAATTACCTGGGCAGCGCCGGGACCCCAAGCTAGTAAATAAATAAATGAGGAACTGTATTATGGGGTTGCGGCATTAGGAAGATTGAGAAATACTGTTATATAGAGAGAAAGTAAAATGTGGGTTAAAAAAAATGGGACAATTGCAGCAAGAGATAGAGCAGTGGTTCTCAACCTTCCTAATGCCGCGACCCCTTAATACAGTTCCTCATGTTGTGGTGACCCCCAACCATAACCCTAACATTATGAATCGCCATGTAAATAATGATCTGCAGGATGTATTTTCATTCACTGGAGCAAATTTGGCACAAATATCCGGTATGCCCAAATTTGAATAATGGTGGGGTTGGCGGGGGGATTGATTTTGTCATTTGGGAGTTGTAGTCACTGGGATTTATAGTTAACCTGTAAACAAAGAGCATTCTGAACCCCACCAGCAATGGAATTGAACCAAAGTTGGCACACAGAACTTCCATGACCAACAGAAAATAATGGAAGGGTTTGGTGGGCATTGACCTTGAGTTTGGGAGTTGAAGTTTGCCTATATCCAGAGAGCATTCTAGACTCCAACAATGATGGATCTGGACCAAACTTGGCATGAATACTCAGTATGCCCAAATGTGAACACTCATGGGGTTTTGTGAAAATAGACCTTGAGATTTGGGAGTTGTACTTGCTGGGATTTATAGTTCACCTACAATCAAGGAGCGTTCTGAACATCAACAATGATAGAATTGGGCCAAACTTCCCACACAGAGACCCCCATGACCAACAGAAAATACTGTGTTTTCTGATGGTCTTTGGCGACCCCTCTGACACCCCTTCGCGACCCCTCCAGGGGTCCCGACCCCCAGGTTGAGAAACACTGCCATAGAGGTTTCGTTCACCACTCTTTTGATCTTCAAAGGCTGGATCTACAACACCTTACATCACAGTTTGGAACTGCATTATATGGCGCTACGTTGATCATATAATCCAGTTTGAAACAGCACTATGTGGCACTCTAGTTCGGCCAAAAAGCTGACTTAGAGAAGATGCAATCAAATATTCCATCAGACAGTCAGAGTTTTATAATGCAAACGGAGAAGACTTGCTTCCTTTTATCTTGTCATTCTTGCCTTTCATTTAAAAAGTGTGCTCATTGTCTTGAGCAATTGCTAGAGACACAATTGGAAATAATAGTGCCATTTAAGTATCTCAGCAAGATCTCTCTTCTATCTGTTTGTTTGTTCAGATACAATCTTCCCATCCAAATGCGGCGAACTAGGTGTAATTTGCAAAATTGCATATTGTCACTTAAAATGGTTGCTTTTCTTTAAGTGGCTCATTTTGACCCTCCAATTCTGGACCACTTACATTATTTTTTTTATTTTCTGTAACATGCGTCTACTCAAACAGAGGAGTTTCACTCAAAAGGACAAAAACCGAAGCTTTGTTTTGGAAGCTGGGAATTAAATAACACCGGGAAGTAACACTGGGAAGTTGGGAATTAAGTAATACCAGGACTGTGGCGCAGTTGGCTGGGAGTCAGCTGCATTAAGATCACTACTGACTGAAAGGTCATGAGTTCGAAGCCAGCCCAGGTTGGAGTGAGCTTCCGACCATTTGTGTAGCTTGCTGTCAACCTTTGCAGCCTGGAAGATAGTTGCATCTGTCAAGTAGAAAATGTAGGTACCGCTTCTGCGGGGAGGCTAATTTAAATAATTTACAACTCCATAAAATCTCCAGCAAGTGTGCAAAAGATTGAGGAAGTACTCCATCATTGTCACTAATGGACGGTGAAGCAACAGCTCCCCTGGTGGCTGGAATACCCTCATGAAGCTGGAATGTTAAATAGCCTCTGTGTGTCTGTCTATATATGTTGTGTATCTATGGCATTGAGTGTTTGCCATGTATATATACATTGCAATCCACCCTGGGTCCCCTGCAGAGTGAGAAGGGTGGAATATAAATACTGTAAATAAATAAATAAATAAGCAATGTGTGGAAAGATAACCCCTAAAAGTGAAATTATTTCAGTTCAGTGATGATCCAGGCGAGGAGTCTACAAAGTAAAATGTAATGTTAGACTTGGAGAATTTTGTGACAATTGTGCACTGGTGTAATGCAATGCTGTGCCAATGAGTGTCCAAACAAATCAAGAGATAGCATTGTATATGTCCAGAATCCTATGTATCAGTTCTAACTAGAACACTGAATTAATTATTGACTGATGAGTCAATACTGGAGTAAATCTTATTGATTCAATGTGGAGCCCCCGGTGGTACAATGGATTAAACCCTTGGGTCGGCAGGACTGCTGCCCGCAATGTCAGTGGTTCGAATCTGGGGAGTGGGGTGAGCTACCATTAGGGTGTATGTATAAAAATGTCTGAAAAAACTGTTGGAAATGCCACAAACATGAGGGGAGCTTCTTCCACATGTGGTGGACCTGTGGAGAAGCCCAAAAATACTGGAAGCTCATACATGAGGAGTCCCAAAAAATTTAGGAATTAAATTTGTACAAAAACCCAGAATATGACCTTAACCTTAGACCAAAATAAAGATGTTATTTTTACCTATATGGTTACAGCTGCAAGAATCGTATATGCAAGACTTTGGAAAACTGATAAGATCCCTGACATTGAGGACTGGATTGGCAAACTAAGGGAAATCAACGATATGGACAAATTAACTATTTTTTTTGAAGGAAGCCCAATAAAAAGGACAGACTGGACGCTCTTCGAAGAATATGAAAAAGACAAGATGCAAAGAGACTGAACTTAATTTTTTTCCCTTTCTCTTTTTGAATTTGATATAGATAGAATTTTGCTAACTTACGTAATTTGCACTCTCCTTCTCTCTTATAAGTATATGGTATATGAATTTATAGAGTATTTCTTTTATTTATTTATTTATTTATTTATTTATTTATTGTGTCATCCGCAACCAGAACATTGTATTACATTTCTAACAGAACAAAACAAACAAACATTTAAAAAAACACACACAAATTTTGCAAACTTGGTAGCTGATTAAATGTCCTTTGACCAGTATCTGGCCACTTGGAGTGCCTCTGGTGTTGCCGCAAGAAGGTCCTCCATTGTGCATGTGGCAGGGCTCAGGTTGCATTGCAGCAGGTGGTCAGTGGTTTGCTCTTCTCCACACTCGCATGATGGATTCAACTTTGTAGCCCCATTTCTTAAGATTGGCTCTGCATCTCGTGGTGCCAGAGCGCAGTCTGTTCAGCGCCTTCCAAGTCGCCCAGTCTTCTGTGTGCCCAGGGGGGAGTCTCTCATCTGGTATCACCCATGGATTGAGGTTCTGGGTTTGAGCCTGCCACTTTTGGAGTCTCGCTTGCTGAGGTGTTCCAGCGAGTGTCTCTGTAGATCTTAGAAAACTATTTCTTGATTTAAGTCGTTGACGTGGTGGCTGATGCCCAAACAAGGGATGAGCTGGAGATGTCGCTGCCTTGGTCCTTTCATTATTGGCTGCTACTTCCCCGTGGATGTCAGGTGGTGCAATATCGGCTAAGCAGTGTAATTTCTCCAGTGGTGTAGGGCACAGACACCCTGTGATAATGCGGCATGTCTCATTAAGAGCTACATCCACTGTTTTAGTGTGGTGAGATGCGTTCCACACTGGGCATGCATACTCAGCGACAGAGTAGCATAGCGCAAGGGCAGATGTCGTCACTGTATCTGGTTGTGATCCCCAGGTTGTGCCAGTCAGCTTTCGTATGATATTGTTTCTAGCACCCACTTTTTGCTTGATGTCCAGGCAGTGCTTCTTGTAGATAAGAGAACGGTCCAAAGTGACTCCCAGGTATTTGGGTGCGCTGCAATGCTCTAGGGGGATTCCTTCCCAGGTAATCCTCAGACCTCGGGATGCTTGTCTGTTCTTAAGGTGAAAGGCGCATGTCTGTGTTTTAGATGGATTAGGGATCAGTTGGTTTTCCCTGTAATTTATAAAGAAGAATATAGTAATAATGTTAATACGAATATAGATATAACTATCTCTTAAAGAACAAGAGCGAAAGCACAGGATGGAAGCCAATAGATATTTATTTATTTATAGTTAGTTAGAATGATCTTTTCTCTCTCTTTTTTTCCTACTTTTTTTGGAAGCCAAATGTCCTCCCACTTTCCATGTCTTTACTTCTTTTGTGTAACTATCTACTTTTTTCTCTTTATTTTTTGATGTATACATAATAAAAATTTATAATAAAAAAGAAAGGTTGAGAATCACTGTTCTAGGCCATGCAACTTAAAGGCTCCTTTGATCTATCCATACCAACTCTAATCGATTTTGTATTTTCTTTTTGATAGAGCGCGTCATCTTAAAGACTTGTGCCTGGGACTAACTAGATAAAAGATGATGGCTTTCCTGGTGTGTTTTCACCACTCATCTCTGATAATCTCCCATTATATAAGGTTGTTTTGTCGGATATTGGTGGGACTGTGGTGGATAATTCTTGGGATGGTCCCTCCACCTTCCCCAATAAACTGCATGGTCTTCAACATTGGTCTGGTAGGACCGTGGTCCTGCGATCCTTTTCTATCCAAGGCTTACCCTCAATTGGCCACAAAGTTAGCCATGGAGAGGATAAAGAAGGACCCTTCTGTTAGTGGTGCTCAACAATTGGACTGCACTGTGTATGACGAAGACTGCCAGACTAGCCAAGCCTTGGCTGGGTTCACCAGGGATGCAAAGCATGCTTTGGCTTTTATTGGGCCCCTGAACCCTGGCTACTGCGTCACAGCCTCTTTGCTTGGGATGGGATGGAATAAAGCCCTTTTCTCTTGGGCATGCCTCAGTGAGGAGCTGGACAACCCAAGCCAACACCCAACCTTTGTCAGGACCTTGCCCTCTTCAACAGGCATCCTTCTGGCTGTCTTGAAGCATTTCCAGTGGGCTCACGTCGGCATCGTCTTTTCCAAAGAGGACCTTTGGGTTGAGACGGCCAACAAGCTAGCCATCGCACTGAGAAACCGGGGGCTGCCAGTTGGAGTTGTGACATCAATGGGAAAAGAAGATGAGGCCGTTGAAGGGACTTGGGCAAAGATCCAAGCAGATGGAAGCGTCAAAGGTGAGAAGCTTAGGAATGCCCCCTTTTGGAAAGAGCATATGGCATAGTATCTACCTGCATCAGACAGTTATACTATTCTGGTACTGCTTTAACTACCATAGCTCTAATGCACTCAATTTGATCACAGAATCACAGACTCATAGATATGGAGAGGATCTCAAGGACCATCTGGTCTTACCCCTAGATCAGTGGTTCTCAACCTTCCTAATGCCGCAAACCCTTAATACAGTTCTTCATGTTGTGCTGACCCCCAACCATAACACTATTTTTGTTGCTACTTCATAACTGTAATTTTGCTACTGTTATGAATCGCAATGTAAATATCTGATATGCAGGATATATTTTCATTCATTGGACCAAATTTGGCACAAATGCCCAATACACCTAAATTTGAATACTGGTGGGTTGGTAAGGGGATTGATATTGTCATTTGGGAGTTGTAGTTGCTGGGATGTATAGTTCACCTACAATCAAAGAGCATTCTGAACTCCACCAAGTATCGAATTGAACCAAACTTGGCACACAGAACTCCCATGACCAGCAAAAAATACTGGAAAGGTTTGGTGGGCATTGACCTTGAGTTTGGGAGTTGTAGTTTACCTACATCGAGAGAGCATTGTGCTCTCAAACAATTATGGATCTGGATCCTTTGGCACGAATATTCAATATGCCCAAATTTGAACACTGGTGGAGTTTGTGGAAAATCGACGAGCAGAGCATGGCGGGTGGAACAGACTCCTCAGTCTGCCACACTTTGAGCATTATTAGACTGAGTCTTTTATAGGAATATTCTGCTGATGTTGTCCCAAAGTTGTAAATTAATGATAGACGTCTTCCATCCTGGTTCCATCTCAATTTCCTGGGCAGATGTTGACTCTTCTTGATCGGGGTTGACAAACACAAGGCTTGTAATGACTTCCTTCTTAACATAAGGAATGTTGCAAACATTTCTGTTATCACTGTTCCAGTTCTTATCACAGCTTACTTTTAATTACAGTCCAGCAAGAAGGTAGTTAGTCATTGCAGGCCTGGGTCTTTTACTAGTATTTTCAAAATTATTAGCTCTATCCATACATCCTTCCATTCTTCCATTCATTCCCAAACATCATATTAAATTCACATTTATCAAATCTGCACCTTGAATTTCTTATTATAGTTTTATCATGTGGAGGAGTAAGTGTTTCATTGTCTTCTTCTATTCATTTGCACAACATTAAAAACTACAGAATTTTGAAAAATGGAAATAACTCTGCTTTCTCTTATTTCAGTTCTCATTCTCTGCATGCATTCTGCCCTCATTGGAGGTGAAGACCAAGCGATGTTCCTAACCAAAGCTCAGGAAATGGGACTGACCGATGGGAGATATGTCTTTGTGCCATACGACACGCTGTTCTACAGCCTTCCCTACGAAAACCATTCCTACTTCATCCTTGAAAACGACCATGTCTTCCGGAAAGCTTACGATGCTGTGTTGACAATTACTTTACAGTCTGGGGAGAGAAGCTTTTACGAGGCATTTGACGCTGCAAAACAACGGGGTGAAATAACCCTAAATCTGGAACCACAACAGGTCAAGAAAGAATTCATAGAATCATAGGATCAAAGAGTTGGAAGAGACCTCATGGGCCATCCAGTCCAACCCCCTGCCAAGAAGCAGGAATATTGCATTCAAATCACCCCTGACAGATGGCCATCCAGCCTCTGTTTAAAACTTCCAAAGAAGGAGCCTCCACCACACACTGGGGCAGAGAGTTCCACTGCTGAACAGCTCTCACAGTCAGGAAGTTCTTCCTCATGTTCAGATGGAATCTCCTTTCTTTAGTTTGAAGCCATTGCTCCGTGTCCTCCTAGTCTCCAAGGAAGCAGAAAACAAGCTTGCTCCCTCCTCCTGTGGCTTCCTCTCACATATTTATACATGGCTCATCATATCTCCTCTCAGCCTTCTCTTCTTCAGGCTAAACATGCCCAGCTCCTTTAAGCCGCTCCTCATAGGGCTTGTTCTCCAGACCCTGGATCATTTGAGTCACCCTCCTCTGGACACATTCCAGCTTGTCAATATCTCTCTTGAATTGTGGTGCCCAGAATTGGACACAATATTCCAGGTGTGGTCCAAAGCAGAATAGAGTGGTAGCATTACTTCCCTGGACCTAGACACTATGCTCCTATTGATGCAGGCCAAAGTCCCATTGGCTTTTTTTGCCGCCACATCACATTGTTGGCTCATGTTTAACTTGTTGTCCACAAGGACTCCAAGATCTTTTTCACACGTACTGCTCTCGAGCCAGGCATTGTTCCCCCATTCTGTATCTTTGCATTTCGTTCTTTCTGCCAAAGTGGAGTAAAGACCTTCTTTACAATGTCATCTGCACCATAGAATGAATTCAGGTTTGAGACCACTTTAATTGCCATGTCTCGATGCTATGGAATCATGGGAGTTGCAGTTTGTTGAGGCACCGGCACTATTTGGCAGAGAAGGCTAGAGACCTTGTAAAGCTACAGCTCCCATGGCTCCACAGCATTCAGCCTGGTTAAGTGATGAAGCTCCCCGAGCCGCCAAAAAAATAAAAAGTTCCATGTTATTAGCATTAATTTAACGCAATTAGAACTTCCATAGCCATTTTGCTATTGACAGTGATTGTTTTGGTTCTCAACCTGGGATCCCCAGATGTTTTTGGCCTACAACTCCCAGAAATCCCAGCCAGTTTACCAGCTGTTAGGATTTCTGGGAGTTGAAGGCCAAAAATATCTGGGGAGCCCAGGTTGAGAACCACCTATTGTATTCTTTTGCAGATTGATTGTAGGTTGTATTTCTTCATCAGCTTCCCTCTGCGGTTAGTGTTTCTCTTGATGTACGGTTCCACTTGCTTCATTGTCAACAGAACCTCTGAAGATGCCAGCCACAGATGCAGGCAAAACGTCAGGAGAAAATACTACTGGAACATGGCCACATGGCCTGAAAAACTCACAGCAACCCTGTGATGCTGGCCATGGTAGCCTTCGACAACAAAACTAGAATCTCTTTTCTCCCAAACTCCCTTCTTTGGTGAAAACTAAGACTGCTGATCTCTTTTTTCCAGGTCTCTCCCCTCTTTGGCACAATCTACGATGCGATTTACCTGGTCGCGAAAGCTTTGGCCAAGGCGCATCATCACAAACCCTTGGAGCTCTTGGGGATGTCGTTGATCCAACATGTCAAAAACCTTGACTTTGCCGGGTTTAGTCACAGAGTCCAGATGGACAGCAAAGGAAGGCCAATGACCAAGTATGTTGTACTGGACACAGATGGCAAAGGGAGCCGCCTTCTCCCCACTTATATGCTGGTGACCTCTTCCGAATTGCTCCGGCCCCTTGGACGAGGGATCCACTTTCCCGGAGGAAGCCCTCTTCCAGCAGATTCCAACTGTTGGTTTGATCCAGATGTTCTCTGCATTAGAGGTAAGGGATGGCTGCTTTTGTGAAGACATAGAAAATAAAGCAGGGATGGATAACTACTATTACATATGATCTTGTCCTGCTGCCCGGCCTCTGCCCAAATTTCACGGCACACATGTCACTTCCTGTTGACATTTGTATACCCAGAAACAGGTCTAACATTTGAGGCACCAAAACATGAGTTGGTAAGTTGTATTATTATTATTATTATTATTATTATTATTATTATTATTATTACTAGCCGTTGCCTGCCATGCGTTGCTGTGGCCCACATGGGGGTTCAGTGTGGGAGGTTTGGCCCAATTCTATCATTGGTGGGGTTCACAATGCTCTGTGATTGCAGGTGAACTATAAATCCCAGCAACTACAACTCCCAAATGACAATATTCTATTTCCCCCAAACTCCACCAGTGTTCACATTTGGGCATATTGAGTATTTGTGTAGAGTTTGGT